CCCCCCCATTTTATTTACTGCAATCCACTATCATTTCAGCTGAAGGTGTGGCCCTGTAAAATCTACTGCCTCTCTCTTTCGTTCCCACCGCGGGGACGTGCTGAGCGTGCAGCATTTCTTCTTGTCCGAGAGCCATCGAACGGAACGCTGACCATGGGAAGCGCCGATCCTGCCGTGCTCCCCCCGTGTTCCTCATGCAGAGCACTTTCTTTTGCAGACTGTGGCTCCTGGCGTTCGCAGGGGAGGCTCTCGCGCTCCCCTCTTTCCTAGAGAAGGGGCCAGAAGGGAGGATCCCCCCGTCCAGGGAAGGACCCTTCCTTTCTCCTGCCTCGTCTTGCTCCCAGGCACACGCTGCTGTTACCGCTTCCCTGCTGCCAGGGTGATTTCGGGTTTCAGCAGGTAGATTTTAGTAGCTCATCTGTGCTGAACGTTGCTTCAGCTGGCCAACAGTCCGTTAATTTTGACCTTGGAAACACACTTCACTTTTTTTAAGTTCAGGCGTGACCTGTGGTATTATTCCCAAGATTATCAAGGTATCTGACAGCTGCCAGGTCGGAGTTTACGGAGGCAGTTTCTCCACGCCTCCGCAGTGCACGCTTGGCTAAGAGCAGCTGAAAAGCTGTATAGAAGACGCTATTAAAGATGTCCTTCCCTAATGTGTGGGTATTTTCATTCAAGCATCAGCCTACTCTTTACATTTATATATTTCTGGCTCACAGCTGATGATGCTTATAAAGACACGTTAGTCCCTGCAGAATTGGAATTACAGAAGAGAAGCAGGAAAACAATAGAAGAACAATTATGCAAGAGAAGTGGCAGCGGTTCTGCATGAAATCACATCAGAAGCCTGGAACAAATGAGCTTGAAAGTGCCTCGGATAAAATGGCTCGGTGCCGTTTATTGGCCGCTGATTTTGCAGTTCTGCGCCTTACGGGGACAGAGCGACGCGCTGCTGGTGCTGAGCTGCAAACCCCATCCATCCCGCGCGGCATGTCAGGGCGAACTCTCGCTACCGGAGCAGCCTGTTCGTTGCTCCGGGTCCGGTGACCGCGGGTGATGACCGCGGAGGTCACCCTCGTATTTCATGTCCACTTCACAACCAGGTGTGACCCGGGTCCCATTTTCGTGCAGCCCCACGACCTGCCGGGCTCATTCCTTCCGTCGCGTTGCGCAATTCCCCACGTATAAATCCCGCCCGCGTCTCGCGGGTTCGGTTCCAAAGGACGCTCCCCGGCCGTCGCAGCTCGACACACACCGCGCAGGCGATGGTGCGCTCCGCCACGACGCTGACCGGTGCTCTGCTCATCGCCATGGTGCTCTGCAGCTCCCTTGGTAAGTTTTGCCAATTAAAAAAATAGGATTTTAATTTTTTTCAAAATAACCTTTAGCTCATTAAACTTCTGCACAGAGTACTCAAACTATTCAGAGTACCATTGAAGCACCTGGTGGAAACTATTCTAGAAAGCAGCCGAAAGGCACCGTGGTGTCTCGTTCCGAGTTTGCAGAGAAGCCCGCAGGCAGGAGCGATGCTCCCGTGCGTCCCGCTGAACGCTTCTGGTGAGGACGGCGACATTTAGGTTCCGCCCTCCAAGAAACTACTGATCACCGCAGCTCGCGTACGGTCTCTGAGATTTTTTTTTCGCTCGGACGCTTACAGTAGGGTTCGTCTGACTAAATTTGGTCTCTGCGATGCGACGGCTCCTCGAGCCCACAAAGGTGCTGAACCTGGGGCATTGTGGGCGCCAAAGTGTCGGAAACCAGCAAACGAATACGGGGAAAGACGTGAGGTCGGAAGGTTTCACGCCCAGGAAAGCAGCGTGTTGAGGGGGCGAAGGCGCAGCCCTGGGGTCACTGACCGAGAACGCAGTTACGTGCCGTTAGCCTCCCAGAAACGGCGGGGCGCTCGGGAACGTGCTGCACGCCGATAAGACAGTCTTAATTATCTCATCAGCTGAAGAACCTGATGATCTTATAAAAGCAGGAAAAGGGTATGGATTTTAATCAATGTGACTCCCACATTACAGCTCGTCAATTAAGGAGAGGGATGTCAATAAAAGAAGGAGAAAACCCCCCCAGAATTTTACTAGAAGGGACAGAACTTAGCAGACAGATGATTATCATTAATTTTTTACAGTCGAGGCTCAGCGAATACAGTCAGTTCAAAGGAGGCCAGAGTGCACGAGCAGCCCTGGGGAACCTAGCCAGGTTTGGAAGAGCAGCACGCCAAGTGTAAACTCAAAATCAGCCTCCGTGGGTGGTTGCGTAGGCAGCGACATCAGAAGGCGACGAGAGTTGGACTTGACGAAAAGAGATTACGAGAACAGGAACATTTTCAGTTTACTTTCGTCTAAAATGCTGACAATTCCAGAGATGGGAGGAAAAAAGTAATTGCTGAATATTACAGACAACCTGGGTGATGAATAGACGAATGTATTCAGAGCAGGGAGCTGAATCAGTTTTGATACCTGGTTAGAGAACAGGGAATAACGACGAGCAGAGAGCAGGCTGAGGACCGGGCAGGGTGAAGCTCATCCACGAACGGTGGGATTCCACCGAGGGACCTGTGCGACAGAGCATCCCATTTCTCGGAAAGCTTTAAAACCCCCGGCAGAGCTGAGAACACCTCAGCAAAACACTTGGTGTGGTTTGTGGGTCGTTATTGGGATGGAGGCTTAAAGGGTCTGAGGGAGGAAAGGTTTGGCCGTTGCACTTTGTCGTTCGTACTCCAGGCGCCGGCTCCGCTCACGAGATGGTGCCCAGCTTTCTTCAGACACTTCTTGAAGGCTCTGCCGAGCAGCTGTACGCCGGGCCGGTTTCTCAATATAAAGTCGATGACTTGACCAGAGCTGCTTTGACGGCATTAAAGGGATGTATTGATGGGCTTTCTCCCGAGCACGTAAAGGCCCTCGTCAACCTGCTGGTAAGTCATAAATTTTGTTATTGTCATAAATCCCTGTGCCCGCGCAGCCGTGAACCAGGTTCCGGACAAAGAGCACCCAAATACTTTACCTTGAGCATCCCTTGGCCTCAGGCTGGGGTGCTCACACACTCCCCAGTGCCTTGAGAGATCGTTAGGCAGAAGGAGGTCTCCAAACACCATGATTTCCCTTATTGCCTCGAGTTTATGGAAACGCTGACTCCCCCCCGCGGAGGAAGCACTTGCTTCTTGCAGGTGCGTTTTTAGGAACGGAGCAGAGATGAAAGCGAGCTTCTGGGCAAGGCAAGAGAGACCGCGGTGTCTGCCACACTTGCTCCTTGTTGGCGTTCCACGGAGGCACCTGCGGGTGAGACGCTAAGCCTTCGTCCTCACGCAGGTGCTGCCAGAGCTTACAACTTCAGAACGTAGTTCAGGTGCCGTAGGTGAGCCCGGCTTTTCTCCGCAGCTGGGCGTTTTGGCACGCTGCGTTCACCGCTCTTACTTTCTCTTTCAGAAACGTGTTCGGACAGAGGCTTAAATCGACAAAGTATTTGCCCCAGCTGCTGGCAACGCTTCTCGATGACTTCCAGCTTCTCATACCCAAAGCCTCTGAGAAAACCACAAATGTAAGAAACGGAGAAACCCGGGATGCTGGCAGCTGTTTTTCTAAACTCTGCGTGCAGAGTACTACACCCCGTCACCTTCCAGTCTATTTCGGATCTTACTTCTTTGGAGATAACATCTACCTTCTAAATAAAATTCAGATGATGTTTTAAAAATATTTCTGTCATCTGTCTTTATTTATAAAGGTCGTCTTTTCTCCTTCTTGCTGTTAGGAAAAGACGCTGTTTGTCTTGATCCAGCCTAAACGGCAGCGTTATTACATACAGACTCACCCACAGCGCACAGACACCCACGTACGCGCAGGCCGGCACTTTAACTCTGAACGCCCCGAGGGAATCACGTCCTCCCCCAAAGCTGCTTTTTCCAAGTGCTGACCATTTTTCAAGATCAGTGCAGTAATTCTGACAGCAACGGACCCAAAACTCGCTGAGCGTGAGCTGAGCAGTCAGCTCGCTTTGGACCACGGTCCTCCGAGCATCCCCCGGCGGCGCAGACAGAGCGACCCGGAGCAGAAGGGCTATCTGGGTGTCAGCACTGCCCACAGCACAGCCCCGGCCGCGAGCCGGGTGCCCAGCGAGTCCCACGGGAAACCTGGGCAGACCACACGGCCGCACCGCAGCCCAGAGCTCTCGCTGCTCCTCTGCGGATGGGACCGAAAGACCCAGAAGGGACAGTGTCCCTCCTGAGCGCCCGAGGAATTGGCCCCTGCCCACCCCCCTGTGCGGTGCTTCCCCACCTTCTCCTCGGCTTCACACCAGACAGGCTGACCCAGCGGGGGCTGAGGGAAGGGTAACGTCCTTTTTCTGGAACAAACTGCTTTGTAACCTTGAGTACAGGCTACAGGAAAGTGAGCCAGAAAGGTGTTCCCCCGTCGCCCCGCTCTCCCACCTCACACCCACGCCGCACGCTTTTGCCTGCCCACCCCCAGGACTCCACAGAGGTGCAAAGACCCGTAGCAGAACAATTTCCAACTGCCACTACACACCCCGGAGCGCAGAGCTGCCCCCGGCTAGCGAATCCTCGA